CTCTTGTAGACTGCTGCTTTGTTCTCCAGCGGAAGTTGAATTCCTGCATCACCTGGTTGGTCTGGCTGGGCTGGCTGGGCTGACTGGTCTGAGGCGTCTAGTTGGTCTGGTGAGTCTGGCTCGCCTGCCTTGTCTCGTGCGTATGCTTGGTGTCGTTGGTCTGGTCTGGCGTTCTTCCTGTGCCCCCACCACGACACAGACCGACCAGACCAGCCAGACCAACGAGACTAGCGCACGGCGAGACGCCAAGCTTCAACAGCGCATACTTAAAGCTTGGGACTTCTTAAGACTTCAGCTGGTCTGGTTGGTCGACCTGGCCGATCTGCCTGGCTGGTCTGAGTGGCCAGGTCCAGTCTGGTTGGTCCTGCCAGGTTGGTCTGCTTGGTCTGGCTAGGTTGATCTGCTTAGTCTGGTCTGGGTTTCGCTGATCTGAACGGCTCGCTGGTTTGCTTGGTCTGTTTGGTCTACCTGACTAGTTGGGCAAGCTGGTCTGCTTGGTCCAGGCAGGTTGGTCCGTTTGGTCCGGGCAGGTTGGTGCGCTTGGTCCGGGCAGGTTGGTCCGGTCTATCTGAACGGCTCGCTGGTCTGCTTGGTCCGGGCAGGTTGGTCTGCTTAGTCTGATTAATATACCTGGCTGGTCTGGTTGGTCTGACTAATATACCTGGCTGGTCTGGTTGATCGACCTGGCCGGTCTGACTGGGCCGGCTGGCCAGTCTGCTTGGTCATCGCCGTCGTTCTCTTCCTCGCCCTCGACTTCCTCGTCGTCGTCGTCGTCGTCGTCGTCGTCGTCGTCGTCGTCGTCATCGTCCTGCTCCTTGCATCGCCGCAGCCGGAGCAGGGACCGAAAGCGCTGGTGCGTCAAGTCAGGCTGCGGCGGAAAGGGGGGTGGGGAGCGAGGGAACCTCATCAGCCATATCAGTTCTTATGCCCCAAAGCAGAGTAAGGCGCTGGGGCATCAGCACTTTTTGCTTCGAGCGGCTTAGAATAGATCTGAGGGCTTCGCCGGCCCAGATCCAGGCCCGAATGATTGGCGAACCGAAGCAGCTGGGCGGCAAGCCGAACAGGGGAACGCCCTCCCCCCCCCCGCCCCTCCCCAATGACCACCGCGAGGGAGACACGCGGCTGTTTCGCAACTCCATTCGCGCAGGGGTGTGCCGCCGACTGCCGCGCCGCCGACGATGCGGCGCGCGCCCTGTGACGAGAGACGCTGGGCCTTAGGGGCCCAGGGGCGCTGCCGCGGCTCGCACGCAGGTCCCATGATGGGCGCTTCGGCCCCCGATCCAATCCCACGGCAGTGTTCAGGAGGGGAAAAAACACACAGACATAATTAATCGTCCACTCCCAGGAAAATAGGGGAAAATATGGGAAGTGGGGGGGAAGACAAGAAACCCAGAAAATATGCGAAAATATGGGGCATCTTTTTATTTGTGTGTATTTATTTGTGTGTCCTGGGGCCCCTTCAAGTGTGTGTTTCAAGTGTTTTTGCCCCGCTGGTTCTGCGCTGCTGCCCGCCTGCTCGACGGAGCAACCTGCCAGCTCTGTGCGCGCGGGCTCCGGCGCCGTCCACCCCGCGGGGCCCCGCCGAGCCGGGCGCGGGGCGCGGCGGGGCGGACGTCTCCCTCCACCGCCCCGCGCGCATTTGCTCTTCATTCGGAGGTGGACAGACCTCCCACCCGATTGAGGAATTGGCCGTTTTCGGTTCGCGAAAGGGCGTCGCGGCCGTCGTTTTTGCGGGTCCAGGTCAGTCGGTTTCGGTCCCAGGCCGTTTTCACGAAGGGGAGGTCTACAAAAGGGAGGTTTGTCCACCGCCGATTCATCCGGCGATGTGGCACCACGGTCGCGATGTCACGGCAACGGGGCACGTCCGTTTTCACTGCGCCCTGGCGCTGTCGATGAGGAGGTCGGAGCAGGGGCGTTGCCGACGCCGCGGGTGCGCCAGCTTGCCTGGAGGCGGCGAAGACAAGGGGGGCCCTTTCCCGCGCGTTGGGGAGGCTCGTCGGCGCAGCTGTGACCGCGCGCGCGCAGAGGTGCAGCCCGATTGTGTAACCGCAAGCGGCAGGCGCGCGTGCGGAACAATATGCACACGCCCCTGCAGGAGCAATGCGCTGCATTGCGATGTTTGAAATTTGAAGTTTTTGCTTGGCTACTCGTTGCTGCCCCTTTCCCGCTCCGCCCTCAGCCCTCACCTTCTTCTCCCGAACTCCCACCCTCCAAACAGGGATTTGGACCCTTCCAGGCAGTCCGCCAGTGCCACGTTATTGCCATGCAGTGATCATAAAAGATCGATGCTCTTGTCGTGATAATGTTGCCATGCAGGCGCATGCATGTCAACACTCCTCCCGCCCAGCCCTCCTCCTCCGTCCCCGCCGCCGTATTTGTTGAGGGGGTGCTGGCGGTGCGCGCCCTCGCGCGCCGCGGGGCGCCCTGGCGCCTCTGTTGGCGGGGCGGCGCTGTCGGAAGTGGTCGGCCGTGCCTCCGACGTGCGCCACGTTTGATTTTTCCAGCCCAGATGTTGGCTGGCGTTTCCCCCCTCCCGGAGGGTGGCGTGCTCGTTTTGGAAAGAGGTGCACGAAGCCGTGAGCCAGGGCACTTGACGTGCAACGACTCCATGATGGCCTGCGTGTGGAGACATTGGTCGTTTTGTCAGTTCAAGCATTCGTCGGCGAACGGCACGTGGCCTCTCGTATCTACTATTTGCACTAGTCGCTTGCAGTATTTGGGCTTTCGGATTCTGGTCCAGCGAAACCCTGGCTCGCTATTGATGGGCTTACCTTCTCTCCCTCCCCTCTGCTGGTCACTCTAGCGCTTCTTGCCGCCGTCTGGTGTCGCGTCACCCTCCTGGAACCCCATGGCTTCCATTAGTACTGGAAGCTTTGCACCTTGGTCGTTTGGATCTGCAGTTATTTGGTTTGCGCACTTCAATTCGAGCTGGGATCCCTCAGCATGATCTGGCCTGAAGGTCGCTATGCTGGACTGCTTTGCCGAAACAGTATCGCCAGTTTGTTTCTTGGTCGGTGGCTCTTTACCTCTTCACGGATAGTGGCACCCGTGCGGTACGACCAAACACATGGCCGTATGTTGCCGTTGTCTATTGTTGTCCTTCTTACATGCTCGTTCCTGCTTCCTCTCCCCGCTTGTTCCATCTAACTAACTTTGTCCACTCCTTCTCCCTTCCTCTCTCGTTCCCCCTGTGAAATCTCTCCTCCTTTTTTCCCTGCTCCTCGCCTGCTCCTCGCTCTTCCCTCCTCCTCGCCCTCCCTTCTCTTTTTTTCCGAATCCTCTCCTGGAGGGTGAAGAGCATCTTGGCAAACGGTCAACGCTGGGGGTGGGGGGGCAGTATCGCTTTCGCCGCTCGCAGGCTTTTCCTCAAGAACCAGAAGCGGTTCCCGGGATACGCCGTCCTCTCGCCCAACAGTTGCCTTGTTAATGTTGCTTGTCCTCATCCGTTCCGTCCCTCTCCTCCGCTCCCTCCTTATCGGGTGCACGATCGTTGCGGCTGCGGGCAGTCGAGCTTTCCTGATGAATCCTTCTTTCGGGGTACGAGCGCCACCCCCCCGCATGGATGATGCGCAAGGGTTTCCACAGAGGGCCTCGCCATCGTGGCAGCTCGCTTTCAGCGGAAGGTGGGCCAGCGGAAGGCGGCGGAAGTTGTACGATGGTTGAAGTGTTGGTTCGTGTTGACGGTCTCGCTCGGGTAATTTGGTGTTGACAGTCTCGCTCGGGTAATTTGGATAGGGTATAGGTATCCAGCGCACGCGCCCCCAATCCCGAAGCTCAACAGCATACGCTTGGTCGGGATGTGGCGCAGCATTCGACGTGAAGTGATGCACGATCTTGTTCGCTTCCACCGCTCTGCCGAGGGGGCCTCGCTCTCAAGATGCTACGCCCTGCTTGCCCAAACCAGTCATCCAGTGCTTTTCTTGTCAGTTGTTTCGCCTGTGCCATGTTGCCCACACCAGTCATGTTGTCCTTCTCTCACCTGGTGCTTCGTCATTCAATGATCGTTGCCACTTTCGAGCCTGAGTGAGTGGGTACCGAATCCTGGATTTACACACGACGCGAGGTACGATGTGGCGGTGATGGTGACGGTGTCGTGATGCGATTGCTCCCCAACTTGTGGTTGCACCTTGGGCCTCTCACTGCTCTTCTACAGCGCTGGGCCCGCCTGCGGGCCCAGCAACCCCGTCGGCACATTTTCTCCCAATAAAAAGGCCCGTCTGCGGGCCTGGCGGCCCCGCTTCCGTCCGTCGCCGCTGGTCCGTGGCACCCCCCGCTGCACTGCAATCGCAGAGCATCGCATTCGCACTGCATTGCAGTCGCAATGCAATCGCATTGCATCCCACTGCAATCGCATCGCATTGCATTGCATTGCATTGCATTGCCTCGGAATCGCATTGCATCGCAACCGCATTGCATTACTCTGCGGTGCCTTGCCTCGCTCTGCATTGCTGTTGATTGTTTCGATTTGCCTGGAAAGCCTCGCATGGCACTGCATTGCTTTGCTTTGCATCGCATGCCATGGCTTTGCATTGCGCAGCACTGCTCTGCATTGCCTGGCATTGCTTTACACCACGCAGGTTGCACCACATGGATTGCACCACGTGGACTGCACCGCACATGCTGCAAGAGCTCACCGGTTGGGGCCCACGCTGGCTGGCATCTTGTGATGATTGTGATGCCGCTCGTGACGGAGGTGGTCGTTCGTGGTGAGGGGATGGGCATGGTGATACAGCCAGGGCCCTGAAGGAGGAACCCTATTCGTTGGGGAGGGGCTCCGCGTTCCTTAAGTGTTTCACAGCTTGCCTCAGGCTTTCCTTCTGTCTTCGACAGGAAATCGAAGGTTAACCTATGGGAAGGAGGGGCCTCGTTCCTTGTTTTGGGTTCCTTAGGTCAAGGCCCCGACTGTAACGGGGCTGCATGGGGGAGATGGGTAAAGCAGGGCGGGGAGATGGGGGAGGATGGGGGGAGGATAGGGGGAGAATGGGGGAGGGCGGGGTTGCATGGCGATGACGGGGTTGCACGGTGATGACGGGGTTGCGGGGAGGAAGGGGGAGAAGCAGCAGCGGGACGATGGGGCGATGGATAAAGAGGGCGGGGACATCAAGATGGATGAGCAAGCAGGAGCAGGCGAAGTGGACGAATTGCGGAGGACCAGGAGGAGAGGCGTAAAAGTAGTTCGTCGAGAGTGCTTTCAGACGCGATGGGTCTTGTATCCGGCGCCAGGTCAGTGCGAAGTAGGAGGAGGAATGGACGTGGGCGCCCGCGGGACAGATTTCCACCATGCTCGGGATGAGGATTGTATGAATACGCAAGATTCGGCCAGATGTGGGGCCTCGGAGGGCCTAAAGCTTTCGCGTTCCCCGCTCTCGCCCCCTGCACACCGACGACGTCGAGCGTTTGTTTCTGCGCGAGCAAGCGTCGCTTTCGGCCAGATGTGGGGTCTCCGCGGGGCCAAGACCTTGGTGTGTCTCCCGCCCTCGCCGCTGCGAGCGCCGCCGAACGTCTAGCTGATTGCTGCGCGCGTGCGCGCGCGGGAAAGGTGTTCTCAACGTCGACTGTGCTCAGTGTTTGCCGGGGGGGGGGGGGGGAGCGACCGGATCTGGGGCCCTGGGAGCCAGGATGGGCCGCAAAGCCTCGCGTTCCCCCACCCCCTCGTCCCCCCGAGCACCGCCGACGCCGAGAACGTGAACTAAACGAACGACGTCGGTGGCGCTCGCAGCGGCGAGGGGGGGGGGGGGCAACACACGATGGTCATAGGGCAGTCGCGGAGCGCGGCTTTGTCGCCGCGGTGCTGGCGGAGGTCAGAGGGTGGCAACTGGCGGCTGTTTGCACCGACCGTTGCGACAGCCTCTCGGGTCACAGGGCCCCGCCTGGGCGTCAGGGCCTGCCTAGCATCGGCGCGCCCCGCTGCGGTGCTCCAGTGCGACATCCTGGCCGACCGAGATTTCCGCCTGCCCGCCCACGTGGAACCCGGGTGGGAGGAGAAGGAGAAGGGGGAGGAGGAGGAGGAGGAGGAGGAGGAGGAGGAGGAAGAGGAGGAGGAGCAGGAGGAGCAGGAGGAGGAGGAGCACGCCGACAACGACGACGACGACGATTATGGCGGCGGCGGAGACGACAACGGAGATCCGGCGGACGAGGAGAAGGAGGAGGATGAGGCCACGCGGGCGCCTCGGCGTGGCACCCCGAGAGCCTGGCTACCGTGGGCAACCCGTCGGTGCGGTGACCACACCGCGCGGGGTGAGCCTGTGGGGGCTCCGGGTGGGCGCACGGTTCTGGGGCGTGGGCCGCTCTCCGATCGGGCGTCTCGGGGTGCCTGGGGCCTCCGAGGTCCCGGAACGACCGAGCGGCGACGGACCGTTCGGCGAGCTCGTTGGGCATTCATTCCAAGGTCACCGCGCGGTCTGCCCGCGCATCGCGTCGGGATCTCCGAGCACAGACCCCCGGCGTCATGTGCTTCTTCCGCACGTCGACGCCCAGAGACCACTGTCGACCCCTTCCTCGGGGCCGGCCGTTTCGTCCTGGGCCGCTCTTGACAGCCCTGCGGGGCCCGACGAAGGCCTCCGGAGGCCGAACTTGCCAGCAACGCGCCCGTGGTGCTTTTTCCCCTCGCGGCGCGAGGGCGCTCAGGTTCCACCCCACCTACCGCACGGAGATCGCGAAGAAGTTCGTGGCCGTCTCGCTCAGCCGGGCCACCGACCGCCCCGACGAGGCCGCCCCGGCGCGGCGCCCCGGCCAGCAGGCCGGCGCCCCCGAGCCCGCGGCGGCCGCCAGAGCAGCGGCCCGCGGCGCGGCCGCGGCGGCCTCCGGGGACTCCGACGAGGACGACGACGAGGCCCGGAGGCCAAGCACAACACTTCGTGCCCCAGTGGAGGGCGAGTGGAGACGATCGGGGGCCACATGCGAACCCTACCCCTACCCCCCACGATTTCTCAGGGGGAGGGCGGGGGTAGGGTTCGCATGTGGCCCCCTAGACGACGGGGAGTGGCACTCGGGCGGCCCCCCCGGTCGCCACGGCTGGGCGCAGCTCGGGGAGCCGGTGCGCCCGGGCCCCGGGAGGCGGTTGTGAGCTGCCGATGTGTTCGCCCTGCGCAGAGTTCAGGGGCCCTCCCGTCGGATCTGCTAGACTCAGGTCAGTTTTGCCTTCAGTTTTCGAGTTCGGTTTGAGTTCGACTCAAGTTCGACCAGAGTTTGACTCAAGCCGGCGGACGGTCGACGCAGCATCGGCAGAAGAGTGGAGCGAGTGACTCCAGGAAGGTCCCCAGACCGAGATGACGAGCATCTGGCTTCGTGCCCAGGCTGCTTTCAGCTAGGCACCAATCGGCCAAGCGTGCCTGGGCACGATGATCCGTGCGCCGCTTGCTCTCGTACTTGCGATTGCGCCTCGGACGCCAAGGCCTGTCACGGGAGGGGGCTCGCAGCCGTCGGGACCCAGAGCCGCAGGCATGGGTTTTGGATCTGCGCTGAGCCCCGTGCCCCGCGCGCGCGCTGGGGTCTGGCGTCAGAGGCGCCGCCGTCGGTGCAGGGGGGGCGGTTCCAGCGCAGGCCCCAGGAGTTCGCGCGGACCTCCCAGAGCTTGCTACCACTGCGCTGTCTGATGTTTCCTTATAGCTGCCTTGATACTCGCATGTTGAAGCACAACACGTGCCGTGTTCAATACGTCTCCCGCATTTGTTGGCCCACGTTTTGGCGAACGTATCTCGCCAGGGCTACGTTTTCAGTCTACGTGCTGAGCTCCATGTCAACACGCTACGTGTTGCGTGTATCGGGGCAGCTAAGCGCTTGTTTCTTCCTGGGTCGAGGGAGGAAACGCCATCCCGATCCCGATACAACAGCGTTTGATGAGCAGCCCTGGGCGTCTACCACGAAGCCCCGCCCTGCCCGATCCATTCCATGGGGTACGTTTGCTGCACGCCTCGCTTGTATGGGGTGCGTATCATGAGTGTGGTTATTCTGCCCTCTACCGGGTGTCCCCCGACCTCCGACGAAGTTTTTTTTGTTTTTTGTTTACTGTCGGAGGTCGGGCGAGATGCCCCCCGACGTCCGACGTAGCGTTTTCCTTGTTTTGTTGCAATGCTCCGCTGGAGACGACACCCGCGCCTGCGTCCTCCGGCGCTGTCGATTACAACAACTGTTTTTACAGCAGGGGCCCTAGCTCCGCCACAATAGTTTTATCAAAATAGGCTTGTCCTATAGGAGTCCTAGCTCAAACCTTACTATTTGGTCCGTTGCCCCCCCCTACTTCCTCTGGCCCCCGTAATTCCTATGGCTGTGCCTAATTATGCGTATGCCTACCCCCCCTTTTTCCAGTGGCACTCCCCCTAATGTATGCTTGCTCGCTTGCTTGCTTGCGCGCTTGCTTGCTTGCTTGCTTGCACGCTTGCACGCTTGCTTGCGTGCTCGCTTGCTTGCTTGCTTGCTTGCTTGCCTGCACGCTTGCTTGCTTGCTGAGTTGCGGATTCCAAGCATGCTCGATTTCTCTGATTCCTTGATTTGAGTCGTCTGATCTATTTGGAGTCAACGCCGGCTGATATTTCACAGTCACCCTCCAATGGAATGTTCCTGGGCTTCGGGGGAGGGCGGCGGTGTACAAATCGCTTTGATAGCCAGCTACTTCAAGGCACAGGCAAAGTTCAAGGGAGGGTGCCTGTGTGGCATATTCTCGTGGCGTACTAGGGGATCTCCTCCACCCCTTCCCCAGGGCCGGCTGTTCATCCCGAGCGATTTGTTTGACGGCCCCGGGGCCTGGCGTAGACCCGCAGAGGCCGAAGACGCCAAGAAGCGTCCACGACGAGGCAGGTCGCATTGGCACTGGAGAATCCGCGGTCGAGAGCTAGCTTGATCCCGCATAGTCCCGCTTAATTCCATTCGCTTCTGCTTGACCCGGCTTGGTTCGGCATCCACGGCTTAATCAGGGCTAATATGGCTTAGTGGCCCCCTAATCGGGCGTGGTAGCCGCAGCCCTTAATCGTTCTTGCGAAGACCTCCCAGAAGTGGCTTCCTGACTTGTCGAAGACGTCTACTGCGAATCACCGACGCCTTCAGCCTTTTTAGAAGGACCTGCGTGGCCGAAAGTTGGGCTAGAGCTGTCGGACCATGTGTTCCCCTTGTTGCCGTTGAAACCTTTCGGGGAACACGAAGAGAATGAGGAGAAGAAGGAAAAGGCAGTAGGTTGAGGAGGAGGAGGAAGAGGAGGAGGAGGAGGAGGAGGAGGAGGAGGAGGAGGAGGAGGAGGAGGAGGAGGAGGAGAAGTGGGAGGGGGCATCTTGGGAGCCTCTGGGGACACTCTTGGGGCCTCCTGGGAGCTTCCTGGGAGCCTCTTGGAGGCATCTTGCGGGCCTCCTTGGGCCTCTTGAGGGCCTTTAGAGGCGTCTCGGGGTCCTCTTTGGCCGTCTTGGTGGGCTCCTAGTCCGTCTGACGCCGTCGGAAGCCGTCTTGGGGGCCTCTCTGGGCCTACTCGGGGCCGTCTTGGAGGCCATCTTGGACGTCTTGGAGGCCTCTTGGGCCCTCTTGGGGCCGTCTTAGGGGCCTCTTGGGCCGCTCTGGGCCATCCTGGAGGCCTCTTGGGCGATCTTGGGGCGATCTTTGGGGGCTCTTTGGCCGTCCGGGCCGTCGGTAGGCCGAAAAGAAGCACATGCGAACAGGATCTAAGCAACTACGGACAACCAATGGGTTTTTGGCCTCTTAGGGCCTTCTGGAGGCCCTCTTGGAGGCCTCTTTGGCCGTCTTGGGCCATCTTAGTGCCATCTTCGGCCGTCTTGGTGGGCTCCTGGCCCGTCTGACACCGTCGGAAGCAGTTTGGGGGGCCTCTCTGGGCCGACTTGGGGCCCTCTTGGAATGCTCCAGGGCAGTCTTGGAGGCTTTCTTGGGCGTGTTGGAGGCCTCTTGGGACGTCTTCGGGGGCGTCTTATAGGCCTCTTGGGCCGTCTTTGGGGGCCTCTTGGGGCCGTCTTGGGGGCCTCTTGGGCAGTCCTGAAGCCATCTTGGAGGCCTCTTGGGCGATCTTGGGGGCCTCTTAGACCGAGTCTTGGGCCGTCGGAAAGCTGGAAAAGAGCAAATACTAAATTAGTTCAAAAGCCTAAGCACGATTAATTAGTTTGGCCTTTTCGGGCCCTCCTGGAGGACCTCTCGGAGGCCTCGTGGGCCGTATTGGACGCCTCTTGGGCATCTCTTGGGCAGTTTTGGGCCGTCTTGGAGGCTTCTTGGGCGGACTTGGAAGTCTCTTGGATCCTCTTGAGCCGTCTTGGAGGCCATCTTGGAGGCCAGCTTGGGCCATCTCGGAGCCGTCTGGAGCAGGAGCAACCTTGGCAACAGGGTCTTCTGGGTGGCCGGCGGGCTGGTCCAGAGCCCCAGGGGGGGTTCTCTTTGGAAAAAGAACCAAAACCAAAATCGGAAGAACCAGCACGCCAGGCACCCCTGTGGCAAGCCAACAGGGGGCGGCGGCTCGAAGACGCCTACGGCGAATCACCGCCGCCCCCTGCCTTTGTGGCAGCGCCTCTGTGGCCGAGTGTTGAGGCCAGACCTGCCAAGCTATCGGACCACGTGTTCCCCGAATCGGTTTGGAAAGCCTTCGGGGAACACGTGGGCATCTTGAAGGCCATCTTGGCACTGGAGGCCATTTTGACCCTTTCGGGCCTTCTTGGAGGACGTGTGGGGGGAGCTCTTGGGCCGTCTTGGAGGCCATCTTGAGCGTCTTGGAGGCCTCTTCGGTCGTCTTGGGGGCCTCTGGGGGCCGTCTTGGGCCTCTTGGGCGATCTTTGGGGGCACTCGGGCCGTCTCGGGCCGTCGGAAGGCTGAAAAACGCCAAGTTAGGCCACAATCCTTCCAAAAACTCATTGGAAGTAAATGATTTGGGCCTTTTCGGGCCTTCCTGGAGGCCCTCTTGGAGGCCCTTTGGGCCGCCTTGGGCCATCTTGGTGCCATCTTCGGCCGTTCGCTGCCGCCCCGGCCCCCCTACGCGTGGGAGCCGGCCGCGTCGCTGCGCCGAGGGGCGTCAGGGATCTCTTCCCCTTTCCACGTGAGGAGAAGCCCGAGCGCCCCGTTGGCCGTGGAGGGCGCAGGCTGCAGAGAGGTGGCGTCGCCGCCGCCGAGAGGGTGAGCTGGTGGACAGCGCCGCGTCGGCGCGAAATCGGACGCACGGCTCCGCCGTCGGACACGTCGCCCAGGGGTGGCCCGATGACATGCAGCAGGACGTGTTTGAGCACGCGCATGGGCTGGCCCAGGGCGAGCAGCGTGCCCGCCGACATCTTAATGTACTTTCAACGCAAGTGGCCCTGCGGGAGTTGCTGCGAGGCCGATCCCTGTACGGTGCGGGGGCGGCCAACGACTCACTGGCGCCCTTCCAGCAAGGCCGACTGTCGCTGCCAGAGTCCGTGGAGGGCCCCCCTCACATTGGCGATGTCTGCGGCAGGCGTGGCCACTACTTCCTGGAGCGGGAGGGCGAGCGCATGCTTAAGCCAGTTGTCGAGGTCATGGCCGATCTCGAGCGCGAGGGCACTCGTTGCTACTGCGAGCCCGCCTTGGTGATACACAGGACTGTGTACGTGACTTTTTTGAAGGACTTGATGTGCCGCGGGCTGCTCGATTTCACGTCGGCATCTTCTGCGTGCGGAAGAAGGGCCGTGAACGACAGCGGCTTATTCTAGACGCGAGGCGGTCCAATCAGTAGTTCAGGCGGCCGCCTAGCGTGGACCTGATCACCGAAGAGGGCCTCAGCAGCATCGAGTTCGATGTGGGCCCAAGCGAAGAGCTCGACGACGAGCTGGTGACGTCCTTGGCCGAGCGGCTCTCGGTGACGGTGGGCTTGGCCGACGTGAAGGACGCGTTCCACAGGCTGAGGATGCCGCTCTTCTTGCGGCGCTACTTCTGCTTCCCCTCGGTGCGCAGCGGCGCCGTGGGCTTGGCTGGCCGAGCCGTGGAGGGCGTCGTGCTGACGGACAATGAGCAGGTGTGGCCTTGTCCCGTCGCTTTCCGCATGGGCTTCTCCTGGAGTCTGTTCTTCTGCCAGGTGTCGGGGGAGGAGCTGGCCTGCGCTGCGCCGCCGCTAAGCCCCGACAGCCTCCTGCGAGATCGTGGGCGGCCGTTGGTGCTGGGATGCGAGCGCGGAGGGGCTCTTTGCCACTACATCTATGTGGACAACATGGGGATCGTGGGGACGGAGTCGCAGCGCGTCAGGTCGACGCTTGACGGAGTGACCTCGGCCTTCATGCAGAGGGGGCTGCCGGTGCACGAGCAGGCCGTGACGTCGGGCGTGTCCGAAGTGCTGGGCGTCGAGATCGACGGGCAGCTGATGCAGAACCGAGCCTCGGGGAAGCGGCGGCTGCGGGCGCGGCGGGCCATCGCGGGGCTGCTGCAGCGCGGCCGGTGTTCAGGGAGCGCTCTGGAGGTCCTGCTGGGGCACCTAACGTTCCTTGCGATGATTCGGCGACCTGTCCTCTCCTGCTTCCATTCCTGCTATTCTTTCGCGTAGAAAAACTACTTCATCAGTGCCCGACTGTGGCAAAGCGTGGTCGAAGAACTCCAGGTGTTTGCCGGCTTAATAATCTTCTTGTGCAGCGGCTGGGCCCGACCATGGAATCAGCTCGTCGTCGCTTCGGATGCCTCCGAGTTCGGACGCGGAGGGGCTGATGCTTGCTGGCCGTTGAGGCTTGCGCAGCAGGCAAGTAGGAGTCGCGAGAGAGATAAGTTTCTAGTCCCCGAGGCCGTGAACGCCCGCGCGTCGGCTTTGGGCCTCGAGGAAGTTTGCGATCAGTTGTCTAGGGATCTGCTTGGTAGTGACGGGGCCACGGGGCTCCGAGCGGCGCGCCCCCCTGCCATGCAGGACGTGGACCCCGAGTTTTTGAAGGTGCCCAGGGTCGGTTTGGACCTTGCTCTGGCGCCTGACCTTTTGGGGCCCCTGGCGCTGGAAACAGGGGATTGTGCATCTCGAGGCTCGGGCCCTCGCGATGAACATCCGTAGGGTCGCTCTTGTGTCTTTCGGCCGTAACTTACGACAGCTTCTCCCAGTAGACAACATGGCTGTGTGTCTTGCCTTCGATAGATGCCGCGCCCGTGATTTTCTCCTTCTGAACCCTGTGCGTCGGTGTTGTAGTTGCTGCCGTGCCGAGAATCTGTATGCAGTGGTGCGCTGTATACCGTCGGAGCTAAACCGTGCTGATGGTCCTTCCCGCATTTACGGCCCGAAACAGGGGTGGAATGCAAGTCCAGGGGGCAGGGCAGTTTCAAGGTTGATCGAGCCGGGGCGGGCTCCCAAGAGTTGCGCCCGAAAGAGGCCGGGGCCCCCCATCCCGCTTTGCCGCCGAATCGCCCGTCACCACCTGGTCGCGTAGCCGTCTTGGCTCGAGCCGGCGGGGCCCTAGCCCCCTCTGGCTGCCTGCGTGATTCCGTTTCGATCCATTCCGAGATCCCTCGAGCAGTTCGATGGCCGCTGGCGGGCGCCCAGGCGCCTGATGAAGTGCCGGTTGCTGACGGCGCCGTCGGCGGGCGAGCGCCCCGTGGGCGCGGCGGCCGTCGCCCGCGAGCGCGCGTTGGAGCCCTCCGCGAAGGCGGGCGAAGAGCAGAAGCCAAGGCGGCGTCGGCTGTTGCCTGGCGCTCCCCTGCCGGGAGGTTGGGCGACGACGGCCGCGCAGGCCCCGCCGGCAGCGTGGGAGACGCTCGTGGGGCACGGGCAGACGTTCCGCGCCACCCGAGCCGCCGGGCGGTGGCGCTTGGGCGCTGCGGCGTCGAGCAGCTCGAGCAGCACTGGCACCGCGTCCGCGGGCGCCGCGCCGCAGGCGGGAGGTCGCGAGAGGGTGCCCTGGAGGCGCCGCAAGCGGCGGGTGCTGGCCCACGCGGAAGAGGTCGGGACATCCTGAGCGCGGGCGCGAGCCTCTTCGAGCAGAAGGCGGCGCAGCAGCAGACCCGCAAGCAGTGCCGGGCGGAATTGGACCGCCGGCAGGAATTCGCAAATCTCGGAGACCCCCAGCTCGTGAGCGACGAGAATGTGGAAGAAATGCTAGTGCGCTACTTCGAGCGGGACTGCTTCCTGGGAGAACAGGCTCATCGTGGGGCCAAGCTGCTCGCCGCGCTGATGCATGCGGAGCCGAGGTTTGGCCGGCGCGGCAGCCGCCGGGTGCCGCGAGCAAGGCGCGCCCTAAAGGGGTGGAGGCGGCTGGCTCCAGGACGGTCACGCTGGCCCGAGCCGCTCTGTCTGTGGGCGGGGGTGGTCAACGAGATGATGTCCCGAGGCGAGCCCGGCATGGCGCTGTTCGTCTTGCTCTCAGTGAGTACCTACCTGAGGCAGAGCAGTTTGCTGGCCCTGGGGCCAGAGAGCTTCCCGGCGCCAAAGCGGCCCGACGGCCATTGGAGCCGACTGGCGCACCCCGCGGAGCGCGGGTTGCCAGACAATATCGGGGAGTTCGACCACCCGATGCTGCTGGGCAGCAGTTGGCTCCAGTTCATATCCCCTCTCCTGCTTACCTTGTCAAGGCAGGCGGAGGGGAAGGCGGTCTGGGGATTCGCGTATTACGACTATCTGAAGGTGTTCACGATGTGCGCGAAGTCCCTGGGCGTCAATGTGGTTCCGTACCAGACCAGGCATTCGGGGGCGTCGATCGATCGGGAGTCTCGAGCGAGAACATTGGGCGAGGTCAAACAGAGAGGGGGCTGGAAAGCAGACAGCATCGTGATGAAATACGAGAAGCACGCTCGGCTTCGTCACAGCGAGCTGCGCCACAACAGAGACCTCAGCGAGCATCTCCAGGCACGCGAGCGACACTTAGAGGACATTCTCCTGTGGGGCAAGGTGGTAACTCGCTGCGCCTGAAGGTAATGGGAGACCGCTGGTTCATCGACCTCTTCTCGGGGACTGGCGGCGTCTCCAAGAGCCTCTGGAATGAAGGATACCCGTGTAGAGAGCTAGAGATCAACAAAGGTTTTGATGTCTTGGATAGAATGTCACGACTGAGACTTCTAACCGACGTTAGGTCGGGAAGAGTGGCCGGTGCGATGATAGCCCTGCCCTGTACTAGCTTCTCAATCGCTCAGAATTGCTGGCTGCGTTCGGACGCGTATCCACTAGGGCTCCCTGGTTTGGCTACCGAGCTGCAGTCTAAAGTCGATCACGGGAACGCTCTGTTACAAGCTAGCTTGCAGTTGATTGGAGCGTGCGTAACGCAACGAACCCCGTGGATTTGGGGAAATCCTGGGAGTTCTTATGTTTGTAAGACGCCTGCCGTTCGAGAGCTCCTAGATCTCGGCTGGTGTTTTGGAATCGTATGTGACCAATGTCAATATGGAACTCGCTGGAGGAAGCGCACACAATATTTGATAAGAAATATCCGTCGCGAGGATTGTTCGCGACTTGAGAGACAGTGCCGTTATAGACGGGGCCTGTGCTCTCGCACTGGAAAAGCGCATTGGCATCTCCAAGGTAGAATCGGCTCGGGGGCGCGCTGGACCGCTATCGCGGCCGAGTGCCCCAGGCCTCTTGCCCGTGCTTTGGCTTTCTCCCTCCTCTCCCCTGTCCGCTCTCAACTGCAATCGTGCTATTGATTCCTGCCAACGCTGTCCCATACCAGTGCCCGTGAGCTCGCTTTTCGTCGTTAAGTGAACATCCGTACTTGGGCTGTTTGGGGCGTTTCGGGGCCGTCTTGGAGGCCATCTTGGGCGTGTTGGAGGCCATCTTGGGCGTGTTGGAAGCCTCTTGGGCTTTGGGGGCCCTCTTGGGGCCGTCTTGGAGGCCACTTGGGCCGTCATGGGGCCCTCTTGGGGGCCTCTTGGTTGATCTTGGGGGCCTCTTGGGCCGTCTTGAGCCGTCGGAATGCCGAGAAGAAGCACATTCCACAATCCTCCAAAATCCCAAAGGAAAATTAATGATTTTGGCCTCTTCGGGCCCTCCTGGAGGACCTCTTGGAGGCCTCTTGGGCCGTCCGGGAGGCCTCTGGGGGGCCTCTTGGGCCGTCTTGGACTCTCTTGGGCCATCTTGGAGGCCGTCTTGGACCATCTTGGGCGGACTTGGAGGCCATCTTGGACCATCGTGGAGGTCATCTTGGGCCAACGTGGTCATCTTGGAGGCCATCTTGACCCGTCTAGGAGGATTTTTCCGGGAATCGGGCGATCTACGGGTGGCCGGCGGATCGGGCCATTGGGAGAGCTCTTTTGGAAAAAAAACCAAAACCAAAACCCATATAGTCTGGCACGCCAGGCACCCCTTTGCTAAAGCAAAAGGGGGCGGCGGATCGAAGGCGCCTACGGCGAATCACCGCCGCCCCCTGCCTTTGTGGAAGCGCCTATGTGGCCGAACGTTGAGGCCAGACCTGCAAAGCCATCGGACCATGTGTTCCCACATTCTTTCAACAACCTAAGGAAAATCAGTTGGCCTCTTCGGGCCTTCCAGGTGGAGCTCTTGGAGGCTTCTTGGGCCGTCTTGGGGGCCTCTTGGGCCGTCTTGGGCCATCTTGACGCCATCTACGGCCGTCTTGGGTGCATCTTGGGCCGTCTTGGCGGCATCCTGGGGCCATCTGAGCCGTCTTGGAGGCCATCTTGGAGACCATCTTCGGTGTCTTGGAGGCATGTTGTGCCGTCGTGGGGCTCTCTTGGGGGCCTCTTGGGAGGCCCTTGGGCCGTCACGGGGCCATCTTGGAGGCCTCGTGGGCGGTCTTGGGGCGATCTTCAGGGCCTTTTGGGCCGTCTTGGGCCGTCGGAAGGCCGAAAAGGCGCAAACGCCAAAATCTTTCAAAAACCTAAGGGAAATCAATGGTTTTGGCCTCTTCGGGCCTTCCTGGAGGAGCTCTTGGAGGCCTCTTGGGCCGTCTTGGGGGCCTCTGGGGGGCCTCTTGGGCCGTCTTCGGCCATCTTGACGCCATCTTGGGCCGTCTTGGGTGCATCTTCGGCGTCTTGGCGGCATCTTGGGGCCATCTGAGCCGTCTTGGAGGCCATCTTGGAGACCATCTTCGGCGTCTTGGAGGCCTCTTGGGCCGTCTTGGGGCCGTCTTGGGCGCCTCTTGGGCCGTCACGGGGTCATCTTGGAGGCCTCTTGGGCGATCTTGGGGCGATCTTGGGGACTTCTTGGGCCACCTGAGGCCGTCGGAAGGCCGAAAAGGTGTAAGTACCAAAATCTGTCAAAAACCTTTGGAAAATCAATGATTTTGGCCTCGGCGAGCCTTCCTGGAGGAGCTCTTGGAGGCCTCTTGGGCCGTCTTCGGGGCCTCTGGGGGGACTCTAGGGCAGTCGTGGGCCATCTTGACACCATCTACGGCCGTCTTGGGTGCGTCTTGGGCCGTCTTGGCGGCATCTTGGGGACATCTGAGCCGTCTTGGAGGTCATCTTGGCTGTCCGTCGGGGAGGCCATCTCGAGCCATCTTGGAGGATTGTTGCGGTCGTTGAGCTCGTTTCCGGGCCTTCCGCGGCCCCGGCGGGACGCTCCAGAGCCCATTGGGAGAGATCTTTTGGAAAAAAAACAAAACCAAACCCGATAGGGTTTGGCACGCCGGGCACCCCTGCGATGAATCGACAGGGGGCGGCGGATTTAAGACGCCTACGGCGAATCACCGCCGCCCCCTGCCTTTTTGGAAGCGCCTATGTGGCCGAACGTTGAGGCCAGACCTGCCAAGCCATCGGACCATGTGTTCCCCGAATCGGGTTGGAAAGCCTTCGGGGAACACGTGGGCGTCTTGAAGGTCATCGTGGCCGTCTTGGAGGCCTCTTGGGCGATCTTTCGGCGATCTTTGGGGGCTCTTGGGCCGTCTCGGGCCGTCGGAAGGCCGAAAAGAAGGAAATGTCACAATCCGTCAACCACCTAAGGAAAATCCATGTTTCTGACCTCTTCTGGCCTTCCTGGAGGCCCTCTTGGGGGCCTCTTGGGCGCTTTTGGGCCAGCTTAGAGCCAACTTCGGCCATCTTGGTGGGTTCCTGGCACGTCTGACGCCGTCGGGAGCCGTCTTGGAGGCCTCTCTGGGCCACCGGGGGACCCTCTTGGGGCGCTTCGGGGCCGTCTTGGAGGCCATCTTGGGCGTCTTGGAGGTCATCTTGGGCGTGTTGGAGGCCTCTTGGGCCGTCTTGGGGCCCTCTTGGGGCCATCTTGGAGGCCACTTGGGCCGTCATGGGGCCCTCTTGGGGGCCTCTTGGTTGATCTTGGGGGCCTCTTGGGCCGTCTTGAGCCGTCGGAATGCCGAGAAGAAGCACATTCCACAATCCTTCAAAAACCCTAAGGAAAATTAATGATTTTGGCCTCTTCGGGCCCTCCTGGAGGACCTCTTGGAGGCCTCTTGGGCCGTCCGGGAGGCCTCTGGGGGGCCTCTTGGGCCGCCTTGGGCCCCTTGAACTCTCTGAAGCCGTCTTGGAGGTCGTCTTGGACCATCTTGGGCGGACTTCGAGGCCATCTGGGGCCGTCTTGGAGGTCACCCTGGCCGTCTTGTGTGGCCGAACGTTGAGGCCAGACCTGCCAAGCCATCGGACCATGTGTTCCCCGAATCGGTTTGGAAAGCCTTCGGGGAACACGTGGGCGTCTTTAAGGTCATCTCGGCCGTCTTGGAGGCCTCTTGGGCGACCTTTCGGCGATCTTTGGGGGCTCTTGGGCCGTCTCGGGCCGTCGGAAGGCCGAAAAGAAGGAACTGTCACAATCCATCAAACACCTAAGGAAAATCCATGTTTCTGACCTCTTCTGGCCTTCCTGGAGGCCCTCTTGGGGGCCTCTTGGGCGCTTTTGGGCCAGCTTAGAGCCAACTTCGGCCATCTTGGCGGGATCCTGGCACGTCTGACGCCGTCGGGAGCCGTCTTGGGGGCCTCTCTGGGCCAACGGGGGACCCTCTTGGGGCGCTTCGGGGCCGTCTTGGAGGCCATCTTGGGCGTCTTGGAGGCCATCTTGGGCGTGTTGGAGGCCTCTTGGGCCGTCATGGGGCCCTCTTGGGGCCATCTTGGAGCCCACTTGGGCCGTCATGGGGCCCTCTTGGGGGCCTCTTGGGCGATCTTGGGGGCCTCTTGGGCCGTCTTGAGCCGTCGGAATGCCGAGAAGAAACACATTCCACAATCCTTCAAAACCCCTAAGGAAAATTAATGATTTTGGCCTCTTCGGGCCCTCCTGGAGGACCTCTTGGAGGCCTCTTGGGCCGTCCGGGAGGCCTCTGGGGGGCCTCTTGGGCCGTCTTGGGCCCCTTGAACTCTCTGAAGCCGTCTTGGAGGCCGCCTCGGACCCTTTTGGGCGGCCTGGAGGCGATCTTGGATCCTCGTGGAGGCCATCATGGGCCATCTTGGCCATCTTGGAACCGTCTGGGGCAGAAAATTGGGGAAGCGAGGTCCGTGGAAAAAATCCCGGGCCCCGGCGGGACGGGCCGAAACCCATTGGGAGAGTTCTTTTGGAAGAATAACCAAAACCAAAACCGATAGCATCTGGCACGCCGGGCACCCCTTTGCTGAAGCAGAAGGGGGCGGCGGATCTCATGGCTTTCGGCCCATCCCGCCACCGTGCCTGGGTTGTGGGCCGCAGGCCTCTCGGGGCCCTCTTGGCCCGTCTCGTGAGGGATACGCGGGAGGCACCCCTGGAGAATGGAAGGATTCAAAATCCGCCCACGTAACATTCGATCCTGAGGGCTGAAGTCTGAGGACTCTGGCGTGGGCGTTCGGTGCGGAATGTGCCCAGGATGCTCCAGGGAGGGTTTCGTATCTGATGAGGGTGGTGGTGATATCCGTGGCCAAGCCTCCCTTGGTGATCCACCCGCTTCCAGGCCCTGGGCGCCTCACCCAGTGGTTCCTTATCCGATGCCCTTCACCGTGCAAGTGACCCGAGGGCTCCCCAACTCTGTGCCTCGCGGCACGGTGTCGCCGCCCACCAAACCGCCCCAACCCAACCCGAAGGCCCCGATCCGCCCTCCATTCCCAGCGGGGGGGCATCGGGGAACGTTGACAAGACACGTGTGGAACCCGTACCCCCCAGCCCGAAATCCGGATCTTCGGGCCAGGTTGGGGTGCTCTGGTCAAACGACGCGAAGATCGGGACAAAATCGGATCGGGATAACTCGAAATCTCTGAGAATCGGCGGGTTTGGAGGATGTATTGGGCGCCGCGGCCGCTCCAGAGCGTTCCGGAACGCTCTGAGAGCGCTCCGGAACGCTCTGGAGCGATTTATCCCGATCCTAGCCCTGTTTTATCCAGTGGCGGGTCACCGGAGGCGCTGGAGGCGATGCTGGCGGCGGAGGCGGACACGGGCGAGGTCCTGTTCCACGACGACTTCGACCTGCTCGAGGGGCCCGGCGAGGGCGGCGGCCTCCGCGCGGGCGGCGCGCGGAAGGCGGCGGGCAAGAGGAGACCTCCTCCAGGCCTCCCAGATTTCAGTCGGGCGTGTGCCTCTACAGGAGGAGTATTCAAAAATAGTAGAATCATAGTCCGGGGACGATGTTTCGACTATTTTTTCACTATTTGCAGCAGCACGACAGAAGATATGTCTTTGCCCTTTCATATAAAAAGGAACAGGCATCATCCTGAGAGCACAGCCCTGCGCTAATGCTTGCGTAACGCCGCGTAAGAATCGCGTAAGGTCCGGCCACACGGCCGCTCCTGAGGAGTCGTAGCCCTACCACTAACTACGGGCACAGTCGTCCTGAGAACGGCACCCTGCGTAAATGCCCGCGTAGTGCCGCGTAAAAAACGCGTAAGGTCAAGCCACGCGGCCCCTCTCCGCAAGATTCAATTTTTAATTTTTGTCCAACGTCTCCCTGTAGGGGGACATGCCCGACCTAATCCTGTATGGGGTCCTGGCAGATGGGGTCGGAGGATCGCGCCGCATCGACGATGCATCGGCGATGCATCATCGCCGATGCATCAGCGATGCGGCTCGATGTGGGGTCAATTTTCTCCACGCAGACATCGCCGATGCATCGCCGACGTCGCCAGTGCATGCCCGATGCATCGCCGATGCATCAGCGAAGGCCTCTACCTCCGCCGCAGGGCAGGGGGCGCGGAAGAGGCAGAAAGGGGCGAGTGGAGGCATCGGTAGTTGACCATCGGGCCCTCTCGGCCACGCGCAGAGGGGGGTAGGGGGAGGGGAAGGCTTCTTAGAAGTACCCCTGCTTCTTAGAAGGCGCGGGCCTTCGCTATACATGGAAGGCCGGTGCCTTCTAAGAAGCAGCCTCCTTCTAAGAACCCTTCCCCCCTCCCCCTACCCCCCTATGCTCGCCACCAACCCTCGTCGCCGCAGCGGGATCCTCGGCATTCTTCACTCCTGGGCTCTTGCCAGCTGGGTGGCGGCCCTCTGGTGGGCTGTTATGCGCTTGCAGAAGGCCGCTAAGCCTTAGCCGTCCCGAGTCAAACTCGCAACCCCAGATACAAGCCCCCCGTTTTGGGTTCACGGCGGCAGGTGTGATGCGGACATGCCACCGCTGGGCGCAGCTCGCACAGCTGGTGCGTTTGGCCCCCGAGAGGGGTCTGGGGGGCGATTTTGAGCTGCCGTTGTCTCAGCTCTCCCTGCGCCGAAAGAAAGGGGGAGAGGCCCTCCGCCGCGGGACATCAGGTGGCGGCAGGGCATTTGGCCCCCGAGAGGGGTCTGGGGGGCGATTTTGAGCTGCCGCTGTCTCAGCTCTCCCTGCGCCGAAAGACAGGGGTGAGAGGACCTCCGCCGCGGGACATCAGGTGGCGGCAGGGTGCAGGAAGCGGGAGGGGCAGCGAGCGCGCGCCTGTCTCGAGCCATGCTCAGAGGGGGCGGCGGAGGAATCGCTCCGCTCCGCGCCCACGGGCGATGGGGGCGGGGACGGTGCGTGCTCGCGGGGGGCTGGGCAGAGGCCAGCCGGGGCTGCCTCGGGTGGCTGCCCGTGCACTGATGCGCGCGCCCCCCTCCGCGCCAGCCAGGGCGCCGCCTCGAGCTCGAGTCCAGCCCAGTGGCCGAGACGGCGAATGCCTGGAGAAGCGCCCGCAAAGGTCGTCAACTCGGCCCTGACACTTCAACTTCAGATGTCAGCTCGGCCCCAAGACTTGCGCAGGCGAGAGCAATCGTCAATTCAGCTCCAGCACTTCGTTCGTCAAGACGAGAGGAGCCGTCAACTCGGCCCCGACACTTTGTCCGTTAAAACCGAAGTTGTTTTTAACCATCAGCTCGGCCCCGATGCTTTGTTCGTCAAGACGGAGGGTACGGCGAGGGGGGGCCGCCAAGGGGGCTCATCAACTCGAGGAGAAACCATCGCGGGGGTTCGTCACCCCAGAGGGAGGTCGTCAAAGGGGCTCGGTTGGTCACCTTGCCGGGAGGCCGTCAAAGGCGTTCGTCAATTCGGAAAGAGGCCGTCAAAAGGGGGTTCGTCAACTCGGAAGGAGACCGTCAAGGGGGTTCGTCAACTCGGAGAGTCGACGGCCAAATCCTTTCACTGAGACGGGTTGGCGGCACAAGCGCCAGATAAGAGTATACATGGTCATCCGTCGTGACGTCGAGGCCCACCTCCAGACCTGCCGCCCGCGACAGACTCAACCTCGAGCGGCGCCCCCGGGGCGCCCCGCGCCCCGGTGTTGTCCCGCACTGCTCGCGGGGGGCCTGCCGAGGCCAGCCCGGACCACTTCGGGGGGCTGCCATTGCGTTTGACCAGCGCGCCCGACCCCTCCGCGCCCCAGCAGGGCCAGCTGCGGAAGTCTGTGCTCCACCCTTCGCCCGAGGATGCCCCCGATGGCTTCACGCGACCACGGCGGCCAGCACGCCGAGGTGCACCGCGTCGTGCAGGAAGGGGGGGGGACGGCGGGACAGCGCGCCAAGCGACAGGACCACCACGCGAGCCCTTCCCTGCGCTGGAGCCGTGTCCCGCGCCCGAGCCACCGGTCGCCGCCGTCACGCTCTCGAGGCCGGTGATCGTCACGACAGCTTGTCGCGGTCGTGGGGGCCAGGCCTCCGCGCCGGGCATCCCCAAGCTCTCGGCTGCCTGGGCTGGCGGCCGTCGCCCCTGACCTCGGCGACTTGGATCCGTCACGTGATGCGAATCGGAGGAGGAGGGTATAATGAGGAGGAAGAGGAGGGGGATTCGGTGTGGAGGGGGGAACTTCGCATCACGTGACTAAATCCCTCTGCCCATGACCATGTTCTTGCCCATGCCCCCTCGAGCAGGCCCTGTGCCGCCCGCTGGGCGCCCGGGCCGCGCCACGGGCAGCGCGCCCGCGCAGCCGTCGGGTGGCAGCCGGCGCCACGCCCCCGCCGGGCCCACTCTCGTCGGCCAGGAGCACGTCCGCGATGGCGTTGCCCGCCCGCGCGCCCGGGGCCGCCGCGCGCACGGAGCCACGCGCCTCTCCGAGTGGGCAGCTCACGACGACGGCCCGTGCTGGCCGGCGGACGCGGCAGCGCCCAGCAGCTCCGCCCAACGAGCGCTCTGCCGCAGCCGCCATGAAGCAAGCGGGTCCTTCAGGGTTTTTCGCAGTTTTTGATGTTGTCTTTCATCCTCTGGCGCGTAGCGGGCGCAACCCGAGCCAAACCCCTCCTCCGGGCAACGGTGACGATCGTGCGTAAGGGGGGGGCGGGCCTGGACCCCCCAGACATGCTTGCGCTCGTGAAAGTACTGTGGCGATCGCAGCAGCAACCCCGCCCACCGAGCCCTCTGCCGCAGCCGCCATGAAGCAAGCGGGTCCCTGAGGATTTTCGCCGTTTCCGGGCTCTTAGAGCGCTTGTCGGGCGCGGGGGCTGTCAAAAAGCAACCTGCAGGAGGAAGAACTGGTCCGGGGACGGCTCCGGGGTCCAGGACCCCCGTTTCCGTCAGGACCCCTTCGCGGTAACGCATGGACCGCGTGTGTGCTCGGCATCCTCCTGGTGGCCGGTGTCCACCTCTGCAGGGCTCCTGACAGACTGGGCCCAGCGCGAGGCTGGTGGCGCCAGACATCTCCCCCCCCATCTCCCCTCCGCTCGTCTGGGGGGCGGCTCTCTGTGCTCCCTGGGTTTGGGGCCCCGCTTCGGGGTGAGGCTGCTCGTGGCGGCACGCGTTCGCTGCCTGCGCCCGGCGGCGCCACACCTGGGGCCGCGCGGGGAGCGCCCCTTCCCCCCCCCCCCCCCCCCGACCCGACGGGACCCAGCCCTGCAGCTCTCGGGCCGGACGAAAGGGGGGGATTGGGAAAGGGGGGGTTACGAAATTTGCTGCACGCAGCTGATTTCGGCCTCCCCGAGGGGCCCATTCCTCGGTACATGGCCGCCTCCGGCGCCGGGAGGCGCCGGGAAAATCAGCCACGTGAGCTGATTCTCAACCCCCCCCCCTTTGCTATCCCCCCCCTTTCGCCCGACCCGAAGCTCTGTGACGGCACGTTTCGCCACCGCCTCCACGTCGGCGCCGAGCGCCCCCCCACGGGGGCGCCACGGGCGGGGAGGCGCAGCGTGGCGCCTCCGTGGCTCTGGCCTCCGCCGCGCGGCGGCGTGGGGCACGCGCGCCCTCCGCATCGGCGGTCGGCCGAAGTCCCTCCGCGGTCGGTCGTGGGCGTAGACATCTCGGCGTGCCAGAGTGTTGCCGTGCCCCTGGCCGCGAGAGCCGAGGACGCCGCGGGCGAGCACCGACGGCCCTCCGACGTGCGTTGTCGGCATCTTGCCGCCTCCATCCTGCCTGCCGGCCTCCCCGTCCGCCCCTCACTCCTGCCTGTCCCCTTCCTGCCTCCTCCCTCTTCCCCCCCCCTCCGCCCGTCCTTCGCCGTCGCCCTCCCTCGGTCCTCCCTCCGCCTCCGAGGGGTGGTCCACGACATGCACGTTCATCCAGCCGTTGCAGAGTGCTCGTGGCCAAGAAGGTCAGTAGACAATGAGAACACATAACAGCATAACAAGTAGAACAAAAGGTCAGTGGTCAAGGCAGATGCTGTTTGATGGAGGGCAGCGTTCTCCCTCCCTTCCCTTCCCTTCCCTTCCCGTCCTTCCCTTCCCCTCGCTCACCTCGTCTCCGTCTCCCCATCCGTCCTCCCTCCCGCTCCACCTCCCCGGATCTCCGTCCCCAGGGCCTGTTATTCATCCCGGGCAGTTTCCTCCACGAGCTTGCAAGGCCCAGTAAGGGAGCCCAGTGGCAAGGGACTACCACAAATCTGCCACCGGGATGTTTTTTTTCTTCCGCACGACCACAGGAGGTCTGGGCATCCCCCCCCCACACCCCTCCCTGACTCCTTTCTCTCTCCCCCCCGTGCTTCGCCGTCTCCCTCCCTCTGTCCTCCCTCCTTCCCTCCCTGTTCCTCCCTGCCTTCCTCTCCCTCACCTTCTGGAAAGACGGGACGGACGATCAATGCAGAAGTGAGGACAAAGACTTCGAAGACGAACGAAGTTTCTGTTGCCAAGACCTGCAGGTGCCACCCCACTCGGGACCCCACTCGAGTGTAAGTGCCTCCCCCTCCGTCCCTCCTTTTCTTTCCGTCCTTTCCTCCCGTCCTCCCTTCCCTCCCTTCCACCTCTCCCATTATTTTCTTCCCCCCCCCCCCGGCCGTCGCTGCACCCCCCCGCGACCGCCCCCCGAGGAGGCGCGCCGCGAGCGGCACCGCGGCGCCCCCGCGGCGCAAGAAGGCGCGGGGGGCCCTCCCGGGGGAGGTACAGGGAGATTCCAGAGCAGGCCCAACACGCTATGATCCCGATCGCCTCTTCCAGCTAAGGCTTTTTTTGTATCCGGCATAGTATGTAAGCGTTGTGCTAGATGCATTTTTATCCGATCTACTTTTTGAGCGTTGCGCGACATGGTCAAGTATCCGACTTGACGCAGCCTAATGGTGCGCGGGGCATCTATTTATATCGTAGTAAAACACTTGTCATACCAACGTACAGTGTCCCTTGCCAGAGTAGCATATCTACCGCCAGCCCATCGGTTCATCGATTCACCCCCTGGAGCAAGGCGCCTTTCCATCGTTGGCATTGCTTGACAGTTTGCATCCTTCCCGTTGGTTTTGAGTGCGGTTGCCTTCAGCCCCTGCACCTCCGCCGTCTGACACCGTATGTCGGACACGAAGCAAGCAACCGTGTTGCATATGATATCTAAGTGCTCCCTGATTCCCAACGACACATTTCATTTAAGACAACGGACGGCTCGGTTGCTTGCTCATTCAATAAGATGCACAGTGTGGGTGGTAAAATTTTCAGACAGTCAGGAAGCCGTATCCTCTTCCGCGCACGTTGGATGCGGTTGCTCCCTGGCATGGACCGGGTCATTTTGCAAGGTTGGCAGTTTGTCGCCATCTGGATGCATGGACCTCATGGTAGTAGCTGTGCGGAAGCTGGTGGCTTCTGAAAACCAGTGACACCATCCAAGACACATGCCAAGTTTTCCGCTCGCCGTAACACAAAGGCGCCATGCAAAAAAAACATTGGTGGTGTCAAAGGCAAATGTCAGCAGGGGACAAGATTACAGCATGTAGCTTTGAAACGGGCGTTCAGAAAACTACAGAAGAAATTGGCCAGGGCGGAGCTAGTTGCCAGTTTCACTCGGAGTACAATGGGTTGTATTAAGAAGAAGGGTGCCTCGTATACGTCCAAGGTTCCAGCAAAGGTGGGCTACGCAATCGCGTTGTCGCGCAATGCTTCCCACATCGGCACGCTGGGCCTTGCTCGAACGATGGGCGTGGTCATATCTCGGCAGTTGTGGAACGATGGGAGTTTATATCATCAGCAAACGTATGGTTTCAATCGCACTGTTTCTTTCAGCCGTGCTTGCAGCTCACGCGAGGATCAGACGGTGAGCCAGGAGTGTTGTCATGAAGTATAGCTGCAATCAGAGGGGACGCGGCAAATTCTACGGTTGGCGAACAATGTGCGTAGTATAAAATACACGTCGGTGCAGTCGGTGCGTGCCCCAGGGATGTTGTCGGAAACAGGTCAGATCATCGTGTTGACATTCCATGCGTTAGCGAGCCTGTCGTGCACTTCGCTGGCCACGCCGCCACGACATTATATATATATATATATATATACATATGTGTGTATATATATATATATATGCACATTATGTATGCCAGTGTTTGCTCTATCTGTATACATACATGTATATGTATGTATATATACACATATCTGTATATATATATATATATATATGCCACGGAACAGCGCCTGGCGGGGGCCCACTCGGGCGCCCCCCCGGCTTCTTTTAGGGGGGAGGAGGAGAAGGAGGAGGAAGAGACAGAGGAGACGGAGGAGGAGGAGTGCAAATTCAAGAGCCATCAACGATGCTGGAATAACCCCCCCAAGTTCCGTCTTCATAGGCCCCTACAACAGTTCATTTTCATCGAGGGAACTGCCTCGTGGGAAGACAACATTTCGAAGACCCTGGAGCATGCCGAAACATTATTCTCGGGATTCCAACGCCACCGATCAACCTGACTGGTGCGTGTTGACAGTTCTGAATCGTGCCAGAAAGCCAGTCTTGGGACTCCAACATCGCGAGTCAAGGTAACTGTTGCGCCCGCAAAACTTTTAACCCGTTCAAAGCACCAGTTTTTATATTTCGATCCTGGGAACCCGGGGGAATCATCGAACTTTCACAGCAAGTGCGCGCGGCGCTAATGCGAAAACCACATGTTAACAAATAGCCGCCCTCAATCCGTGAAACGATTGCAATGTTTTAAACGAATGTGCGCGGCGCTACAGCGAGAGCCACATTTTGAACACGGGTCGCCTGCAACGAGTGACACTCTTGCGAATTTTCAACGAATTCACGCGGCGTTCGGGTGATACTCGCATTTTGAAAACGGGTCGCCTCCAATCCTTGAAGCACGTTCAAGTTTGTAGAACGGATGTGCGCGGCGCTGGGGCGAGAGCCGCACTTTGGAAACCACCCGATCTCAATCTGCTAAGTTGTTTGAGAATGTTAAGAACGAGTGTACGCGGCGCTAAGGCGAGAGCCACATTTTGAAAACGACCCGCCCTCCATCTGTGAAGCGATTGCCGTGTTTGAAACTGCAGGGTCATACGTGGTGAGGATGCCTCAGGCGAGACGCCCGACACGCCCTAAAAACTGTCCTCGGGGTGCGACAGGGAAAGTTATTCAGAAGGAAAAACGGGTGAGGAGGAGGAGGAGGAGGAGGAGGAGCGTGAGGAGGATGTGGCGGGGGAGGAGGAGGAGGAACAGGAGGAGGAGGAGGAGGAGGAGAGGAGGACCGGGAGATGAAGCTGAAGCTGGAGCTGGAGTTGGAGGAGGAGATGACGGGGGGAGGAAGGGAGGGAGGGGTGAAAGGAGGAAGGGAGGGAGCGAGGGCAGTGAGGGTAGGAGGGGGAGGGAGGAGCGGAGGGATGGGTGGATGGATGGATGGATGGAGGAAGGGAGGGAGGGAGGGAGCAGGGAGAGGAGGAGGAGGAGGAGGAGGAGGACGAGGAGGAGGAGGAGGAAGAGGAGGAGGAGCATGAGGAGGAGCATCAGGAGGAATGGGAGAGAGAGAGAGAGAGCGAGGGAGAGAGCTGTAGGAGGAGGTGGAGGTGGAGGTGGAGGTGGAGGAGGAGGGTGGAGGAGGCGGACGAATTCAAGGAGAAGCTGGAGGATCCCCCGCCGCTCACCGCCCAGGCCGCCCGCCGCCGGCCGCCCGAGGCCGAGGCGGTCGCGGCGGGGGCGCCCCGCGGGGCGCGGGCGCGGCGCCTCTGAAATCTTCCGCCGATCGTCGTCGTCGTTTCGGCCGCGCGCAGAGCCTCGTCGTCGTCGCCGTCGTCGTACAAGGTTTTCCAACACCGACAGCGGCCATTGTTGGGCAGGCGGCCTTCTGTCTCAAATGAACAAGACCCGCGGCACCAACAGCAACATTCCTGTTTAAAGAGAACAGGAACTGCTGTCGGTGTTTTCAGAGGGGGGCAGGGGGAGGGGGTCGGGGGAGCGGGGAAGGCTTCTTAGAAAAGGGCTGCTTCTCAGAGGGCGCGGGCCTCGTCTGTAGATGTACGCTGGCGCCTTCTAAGAAGCAGCCTCCTTCTAGGAAGCCTTCCCTCCTCTCCCATACCCCTTCTGTACGCGCCGCCAAGTCATCGTCGGCGTCGGCGGCGTCGGTGTCGTCGTCGACGTCGTCGTCGTCGTCGTCGTCGTCGTCGTCGTCGTCGTCGTCGTCGTCGGCGTGCACCCGCACAGGCGCGCGGGAGCGCGTGCATGGGGGGAAAGACAGGAGAGGGAGGGGAAGTAGGAGGGGGAGGGGGAGGAGGGGGAGGGGGAAGAGAGGAGGAAGGAGGGGAGGACGGGGAGGGAGGAGGGAGGTGGGGGAGGAGAGGGGGGAGGGAGGGGACCCAATGTCATTCTCTGGTTTGGTGGGCGATTCCCCGGTTGGACGGGCTATTCCCCATCAAAGTTGGGTTATTCCCTGGTTGGTGCCTCAACAACTCCAAACAACCACACAACCAAACAAGCAAGCACCAATCAACAAATCCCAAACATCAATTTACAAAGACCTAACACCACCAAAACAAAACCCCAACCCCCAAAAACCAGTCACCAAACCCCACACCCGAAGCACCAAATACGATACACCAAACACCGTACATCAAACACTGAGCACCAAACACCAGCACCCAAACCCGAACACTAAACACCAAACCCTAACCTTCCCCAACATGCAAACATCTAACCCCAATCCACCATACGCCCAAAACCATGCACCATACGCCACACGCCACAACCCCACACCCACACCCCAAACACCAATCATAAAGCACAACACACCGACCCCAACACACCACCACCCCAGAAACAAAGCCCAAACACCGAACACCAAGCCCCAAATGCCAAACTCCAAACAACAGACCCTCAAACACCAAATGCCAAACACCACCCCCCAAACAGCAACCCCCATGCTCCAAGCGCCAAACACCAAACACCATACACCGTACACCAAACACCGTGCACCATACACCAAACACCATACACCAAACACCGTGTCTCCGTATTCATCTTCCACCCCACCCACCTCCATCCTCCAGCTATTTCTTCCCGTCCTCCTCCCCCCACACCTCCATATTCTTCCCCCCCTCCTCGTCTCCCCCCGACCTCCATATTCGTCCTCCCCCTTCGCATCCCCTCCCACACCTCCTTAATGTGGGCTTCTTGGGATGTTTCTCCGGGTGCTCCGAGACCACTGGGAGCCGTCTTGTGGCCCTCTTTGGTGCATTTTGGGGGAGCTTGCTTGGAGCAATGTCGAGCGAGCCTGCGCCATCTCGGGCCATGTTGGTGGAGTCCAGCTTCGAGCATCGGCGGTCCACTTGGAGTCATCGCGGGCGAACCCTCACTCTCTGACACCTCGCCTCCCCGAACAATCAGGAGGGGGGTGCGCCTCCCCTTCCCGCAGAGAAGAGGGGCGTTGGGAGAGTGCAGAGGACCATCGTCAGACCACCTGCGCCCACAGGGCTGGTGGGAGATGCTGCCAAGAGGGCCATATACAGCTGGCACGGATATTCATATCGACCTTGTCTTTGGAGGCTTACCTTGCTGTTTGAGTCAGACACGGCGAGTTGCAATGAGCATCTTTATCCTTCAGGCGCTCAGCACGGTTGTCTAGAAGCTCGCGGGGAAGAGGAATAGGAGGCGCGAGGGAGGAATGAATACGGGAGGCAGGTGGCAGGGAGCAAAGATGAGAAGGGGGAGGGATGTTGACGATGGGCTCCGCTCGTCTGGATCGTTCTGGTGGTCGTGGTCTTGATCGGGTTGGTGGGTGTGGCGGTCGTGTTGATGGTCGCGTTGGTGACCGTCGTGGTAATGCTCGTGCTTGCGGTTGTTGCTGGTGGTCGTGTTCCTAGTCGCGTTGGTGGTCGTCCTGGTGCTTTGCGATGGCGGCCGCGACTTCTGGTAGCCCCGCTCTGCCTGGCTTGTGCAGGTGATCGTGCGACTGTACTTTCGGGTGGTCGCGTCGGTGGTTCGTGCTGCTGGTCGTTTTCCTGGTCGTCCTGGCGCGTCCTGGCGGTGGTCGTGTTGGTGGTCGCGGTGATGGTCCTGCTGGTGGTCGTGATGGTGGGCTTGTTCGCGTGGTCTTCATATTTGGAACGTGTGGTTTGCTTGTGATAAACGTTTCAATATTCCCTAGGGGCGCATGGTCTGCAGCAGTGAAGTTTACAGCTTCCTTCTGCGAATCATGGGGTTCTCAAGCAAGAAGCGAGCCTGGTGTTCATATGAGACAGATCAGAAGTTCATATGCACAACGTATGTGTTGCAGATGAGAGGCGCACGTGCCTCATACGAGAAACGGATGTACCTCAAACGGTACTACTACTGTCCTATCAAAGAAACAGATGATCCAGAAAAAGGTAGCTCTCCGGGTAACCAGAGCGAGATCCTCTGCGGCTGTTGCCTAGCGTACCGAGCAATATTCACGCACGCGCATAGGCGCGAACGCACAGAGCAAGCCAGCGTCCTTTCAGAATAGCATTGCTGCGGATTGATGTTTCCCCGGTTGTGTTTCCCAGGGTACCATGTGGGCCCCTTATTAAAGGCACATCGCTGGCGCTGCAGACTTTCTAAAGATGGCAAATACTCGAAATCAATTGAGGAAGGTCTTCTCCTATATTGTATATGTGGAGGAAGCAGGGGGCAGAGGCAGGGAACGACGGGGGAGAGGGGGAGGGTCCTCCTCCCTCCTCCCCCTTCTTCTCCCTCCACTCCACCCCCTCCCCTCCCCTCATCCCGCGCCCCCTCCCCCTCCCTCTCCCTCCCCTTCTCCCCCCTCCCCGCTCCCCCTCTCGCGCGCGCGGGAGCGCGCGCGGTGGGAAGGGGGAGGAGGAGGGGGAGGGGAAGGGGGAAGGGGGAATGGGAGCGGGATGAGGAGGGGAGGGGGAGGGGGAGCGGGTGAAGAGTGGAAGAGAATAGGAGGGAGGATGGAGGAGGAGAGCTCTCCCCTTCTTCCCCTCCCTCTCCTGTCCCTCCCTCTTCCTTCACAATTCCACAATAGCGAATCAACCACCCTTTTGGTGATCACGAGATTGCGGGGTGGTAACGTCATCTTTGGTTTGCATGAGACGCTCAATTCAAGTCACGAGTTGACATACGTCCAGACATCAAGACTGGCTTTTATTGATCCAGCTGCGCATCTATTTGCTGATCACGTACTGCTTTTATCCTACTACAAGTTGGTACCTCGATATCGATTGCTGGAACGACCATCGGGAAACGGAACGGGACAACCACCAGAACAACCATTGTATACGCAGTTATCTACATATCGCCTCCCATACCCATCGGTTTCATTATCTATGTACTGGCTTTGTCATTATCACAGCTGTCGATCTCACACGGGGCAACCATCGGGACAACAAACGGGACAACAGTTCGATCAATCGAATGGCCTTTCGGCCCATCCCGCTACCGCGCCTGCGCTGCGGTTCAAAGGCCTGGGATCAGGCGGGAGAGACGGCTGGCGCCATGGTGGAGGCGTGGGGGTCCTATTGGGGCGTCTTTGGAGCGGCTTGGGGTCCTCTTGGAGCTCTGCTGGAGAGTCTTGGAGCCCTTTGGGGGGCCTCTTGGGAGCCCTGGAGGGCCCCGTGGGGCCATTTTGGAGGGTATCGATCAGTGGACGAGGGGTCCCATTGGTTAGCCCCCCCCCCCCCGTGGGGCTCCGAACGTCGCATCTTGGGGCCCTCTTGGTGCGCGTGTTTGGCAATCGTCTGCGCTCTTTGGGCGATCTTGAGGGCCTCTTGGGCGCCTCTTCGGACTCTCTTGGGCCATCTTGGGGCCACCATTAGGCCTCTGAAGCCCATCTGAAGCGAAAAGGCAAGACGACACACGTCGATTTCCTCGCGGGCTTGGAAGAATTTGGGCCTCTTGGGGGGAATCCTTGGAGGGTTCCGAGAGCACTTGGAGCCGTCTTGTGGTTCTCTTAAAGCCTCTTGGAGAGCATCGTCGTGAGTCTTGGGGCCTTTTGGGATTGTTTTGGGCCGCTCTTGGACTTTCCTGGGCGCTTCTGAGGAGATCATGTGGCTTTTCGGATCGCTGCGGGCGGGGCACCACCTTGAAGGCCCAAGCGAGAAACCCCAGCAGCGCCCAAGAGCGCCTGGGAAACGGGAAGTCTGGACCATTGAGAATTTATGAACCTTTTCCTCTCAGGGCTGCAGGAGCCCTGGGGCACTCCACAACGTACTGAAGGCACGGTGGCGAATCCATGCATATATCAAGCAGTCTTACCGTGTGCCTATATGTATCACGGCCAACCTATCTGCCAACCTCAGTAGCAATATAGAAGAGCAGCCGTCGGGGCAATCATGATACGATCTATCGTCTACCCGTGCTAGTATTTATCGCGACCACTATTTTTTATCGATATCACGATGAATCAATTTGTCGTAACAGCCATCGGGACAACCATCGGGAAACCCATCGGGACAACCATCGGGACAACAGTCGGGACAAAAACCGTGACACCCATCGGGACAACCATCGGGACAACCATCGGGACACACCTCGGGAAAACAATCGGGACATCAATCTGGACAGATATCGGGACCACCATCGGGACTACCGTCGGGGCAACCATCGGGACAACCATCGGCACAACCATCGGCACAACCATCGGGAAATCCATCGGGACAACAATCGGAACAATCATCGGGACAAGCATCGGGACAACCATCGGGACA